CAATTGGTGGCTGACTAAATACTTTTTTGCCCCACTGTAGAAGGTTTGACACTGAAGAGGAGGTATGGGACCAGAAAACAAGTAGCCAGACTTAAATCTGCATCCCAAAATTGTTTGTTGCACATACACTACCACCTGGCTTTGACAATCTTAAAATAATCTTATCTTGTTTTCGACTTCTAAGATTACCAGAAAGACCAATTATAGCTCAAATGATGAAATTAAAATAAAAACAAATAAAAGGACTACTTTATCAGCTAGCACTTTATACTCTCTTTGAACACCAACTGTAATGGGGATGAAAAAGAAAAAGGTTTTACTTACCAAAACCTGCTGGCCTTAGTAGAACTTTTATTAAAACGCCCTGAGGTACATTTAGGTTTCAAAGTTATTCTAAAAGGTCCTTTATAAAGAACGTTTATGAAATAATAAATGTTTAATCTATCAAGGTCTGAACCTAAATCAAAAGGGAATGATAAAAGGAAAGTGGCTTTAATTTAATTATTTACATTTATTTTTTGCCTAATTAAGGTTTTCATGGATGCTTTTTTTGTTCGTTCAAAGAAAATCTATTCAGGTTACACAAAGCTGTTAATTCTTATCTCCTCTAACAATGCGTGGAAGCATGTTGCGTTGGTGTATGCTTCTGAAACTTTTTATCCAAGTCCTTGAATACTGAAAAATCCAAAGAACCATCTTTTGTCCGTGTGTCAGCGCCTTGAATGTTTTCAACAGTACTAAACCTCAATCTGCATGAGTCACAGTTCCTTCCTTTTTAAAAACATTCAACAAAAGAACAACAAAGTCTATCAGGAACAAAAATGTCTGTAAAGAAGACACGAAAAACAGCATTTAACTTGCTATAAAATGTAACAATCACATTGTAAAACTCCAAAATCCAACGGATTCTAAACAGAAACCATCATACTAACATTGACAAAACCATTTAGGAGGGGTTTTGTTACGGAGTAGACATGCAAAGAGGTTAGCCAGTCATAACACAGGTCATTTACATAGACGCCTTAAAAGATAAAGTAGCAAAATCTTGCTGTTCAACATTGTGTCCTAATAGATGGAACCGGATACATTTTCACTGACAAGTAATTTGTCTGTCCACAATGAAGGAGGTAATGATGAACAATACGGCATAAAATTAGCCATCTATGACATGTTTAATATACAGTTATGTGGGTTTTTAGACCAATTGGATTTACTGTGGGCAGGGCAACACAACTCTACAAAAGGAAAACTAAGCGACTAGCAATGTCCTGTGACTCATTGCTTATCAGAGTCACAAAAATAGAATAAATTTGATTGCTTGACACTTTATGTAGTATCTGGATAGGCCACAGTGTAAAGGCTGTTCACACCAGAATTAATTATATTTCTATAAGAATATGGTAGTCCACAAGGAAGAGAAACAATATGGTTGGATTTACTTTTTCCAGCTGATGAATGATAAAAACATTTGACAGCCCAAGAGAATCCACCTGACATAAAGCTCTCCATCATTTAAAAGCAACTAATGACAACTGCAGCGTATGCTTACAATAAACAGAACATTATCTCACATTTGTGTGGACGCAAATTTAGTTAGATTTATAGTTATTTTTCTAGTAAATGGGCCTTAAGGGTCAGAGGGGGTGTGAAAACTGGTTAAAGTTAACTGAATCAACTGTTTTCATGCAAGAATCCTTGACTAGAATTATAAATATACAAAAAACGAAATGCTACAAAACAAGCACAGAAAATATAGGCCCCTTTAAAAAAATAAGAATACAAGAATCCCAGACGTACACATCCTAACATGGGCTACTGCATGCAGAATGCCAAAACCAATCAAGGAAAACACAGGGGTCTTGATTGAGAGCTCATGCAGCCCCCAGGCATCCCATTATAACCAATGCTCTGCGTTTCTCTGTTTGTTCCAGTCTCCTGCACTGAGCTACAGTCTGCCTTCACTCTGCTTGACTTGGTCTAATTTAACAAAAATGTCAGCGGAACTTCTCCGCCTCGTCACTGGAAGTGACATTCCTCCATTCTGTGTCCCTGGGGTAAGCGACA